GCATGCTCTCATGGGTAGACATCACTATGGTTTGGACATAGATGCTGGCATGACAGGATTGCCTGTGGGATGGGCGTGATTATGGCATGGTTTCAGAATGGATGTTCTGATGACCGTATACTGTCAGGGAGGGATGTTGTCATTTGGGCATGGATGCTCCGATTGTCGGATGCACTCGCAAAAGGATGTGATCATGGTTTGGGAATGGGTGCTTTGGGAAGCAAGTGTGCAGTAACACAAGTGCTGATGCCACCAGAGTCAGGTCTTTTCACACCTCCACGTGTTTGTTGTGCCATGCCGGCCATATCAGGAGACATCTCATACCTGTATATGACACTGCGTAGGCGCCACCACCAACTCTTTGCTTATTGCTAATTTTTATACACCAACAACGACAACCAGCAATGGCAATCTCAACAACGACTGTGATGAAGAGGAGTAAAGCGCTGGAGAAGGCGCTGAAGAATGTCATCCATGAGCAGCAAGAGGAGTTTTTCCCAGTGAGGCTGGGGATGCATCTGAGCTTTTGTCTAAACTCCTTAAAGGGGGTTATATAGAGAATCATAAAAGGGACGATTATAGGGCATCTTAAGGGACTAGGCGCTTAGATTATGGGTCATGTCAGGATTACTTGCGGATTGGGACTACATGAGGCATGAAGGGCTTGGTTTTGCGTTTTGGGTTTTGGTGGAGTGTATATAGGGTCCTGGTGGAAACTTTGAAAGTGTGCATGTTGGCACCTCCTACTTCAAGTAACCTCTAACAGGCTTATGATGTTTTTTGGGCCTCTATAGGCCTAGCTCCTGCAACAACACACTCCCCTCTCGTCCCGGGCATACAGTACGGACATGCTCTTGTCTTGCAAAATGTAGCAAGCTTGGCGGAGGAGTGCAGAGGGGGTACAAATTCCTAGGCCAAGTTGCACGTGTATAGGATAGAGGTGTCTCGAAATCGTGTTTTCTATCTCAAGGCCCTGATGGTGTTGACGTGTTTGCATGCTTCGGGGTGGACACACTCTCCTTGCAAACTGATGGACGTTTGCGTTATCACAAGCAATGCACATAGAGTTGATGCTTTGGATAGGAGTTGTTGTAGGACCTAGGGCCAATGTTCACAGATTGTCTCTCTGACCGCTGCAGTCGAGCCATTGCATGATGATAGCTGTGCTGAATTGTCACAATCTGAGGGTGGGGTGAGGCTGGACAAGTTCCATCGACAGGAGCAGTACACATGAAATTTGACCCGGAATGCCCCTAGGCTTCAAACAGAAAGCTCCGCAAGCCCAAAAACCGGCCTTCAAACCTTCAACCCAGTGCCTTCGGTCCCAATGTTTCTGAAACCTACCTTGAGGTAGTTACTGTTGCAATAATGCTGGTGCTACTGCTGTTACTGCTGCTGCTGCTGCTGCTACTCTGGCTGTTGCCATTTCTGCAGCTGCAGACTATTTTCCTTTCCTGCCTGGCCTGAACCCTAAACCCTACGAGTTCAACAGGCATGAGATCTCCTCAGCATATCGGAAATTTTTCCTCGGCTTCCCGAGCATCAACGGCAGGCCTGTCCTGTTGCAGGTGTGTTCGTGAATTTGGAGCCGTTGTGAAATTGTATCTTTATTCCTCCTGGAGGAATAAATCTTAAGGGTGGGCGGCACATTCGTAGGTCTACATAGTACGCGTTATACTCTCCGATGCGATCCCGGGTCCATTTCGTGTGCATGAAATCTTGACTGCAGCTTTGCGTTAAACATCGCGTTTTTACCAATCTGTCAGTTTCGCAGTAAGACAACCTCTAAAACGGGGACCCCTGAAAGGGGCAAAAAGGTTGTGACATACCTTAATAACAGTCCCCTGTGTTGCTTCCTGAAGCAGCCCCGCCGTATGGCTTTCTACAATGCCTCTCATTTTTGTGTTTTGGTCGTATCCCGTTGGACCGCAACTGAAGATTGGATTCTCACAATAACCCTGTAACGGATGTAAAGTACAGGGCGGACTGATTACTTATATTGCAGTGCTACATTCTTAGTATAATTATGATTCAGGGTTCCTCAAATGGACCTCAACATGATTGTGTTAACTATTCCGGCCTCCCCTTACGGCCATGTATTTGATCTCCTTCGTTGTTTTCCCTCTTTTGATTTGGCTGCTCCTTTCATTCATGCAGAATGGCTACTGGGTGTGATTCTATGGGCAATTGTTGCTGGACATAGTGTTGAATGGGGCACAGTGAAAGTTCTGCTTTGCTGCCTTCAGTCCTTTGACCCATGAGTGTGCACCTTCTGTCCCGCAGTTTTTTGTTGCCATTTGATTCTAGTGCCTGTGCGGCCAGCTATTCGGAGCACATGGAAACGGGCTATGATGTCTACGAGCATTGAGCCGATCCAGCTTTGTGTGATTGCTGACGAGCCGCTCGCACTTTGAGTCTGCTGCTATACACATCGTGCGACCTTCTTGCAGCAAAGAAGTGCTCTGAGTGCACCTCTTCTGGCTTCTCACCGATGCGGATCTGGTCAGACGTGAATATTTTACTGGAAGCAGCTGCTGTTGGATAGCATTGAAGCATAAGGATCCTGCAGAGGCATGTCGTTGATCTTGATCATGCTAACAGCGGCGATGCTGCCTCATCTCGGACGACCAGCACGATCACTTTTGTGCAGGCCATTTTCCAGGTGCAAGTTCAGTAACACAGTAGCTGATGTAAGAGGTGAGGCACAAATCTTACAAAACCCATGATGCAGCCCTGCTGTGATTAGCTCCACTTTACGTGTGCGGCCCCCGAACTCGGGCTGGAGGAGGGAAAGGCTTCATGAGAATAATGGGTGTAGACCATGGTAGACCGTTTTTGACATTTCGGAGAATATGTGATGTCTGCTAAGAGGATTGGTTTCCATACACGCAAGTTGCAGCAACAGCACTATTCTCAGAGAGATTTTGCCTTGTCATCGCCCCCCCAACTCCCCCAACTCAGACCGCTGAGATTGAGAGGTGCAAGTTCCAGAACGAAACCTGTCCTTCTGCTGCTCCAAGATCTAAGATGAGCAAGGACAATGTCAGAGAGCACTTCGACATGTTGATCCTGCACTCGCAGAGGATATCAAGACCCCTCACAGTGCTACACATTGGGACCAATGACTTGAAGGACGACAATTTGTCTTGCCAAAGCCTTGAGGCTTTAGCCGTCAGGGGAAGTGGCTGTCAGAGCTAGGCTTTCCTTTCTCTTCTTTTCTTGACTACCAAGTACCCGCACTACAAGAGTGACCCCAGACACATTGCCACTCACGAAGAATGTTCTGAGGGACTACTACTGACTAGTTGGAATGAAGGGTTGGCCAAGTAGAAGATCTTGTTGCAGGTAGGTGAACATATGTAAAACGCCATGCCAACATGGAAGGTAAGATTATGGACTTTCTCTGGGTACCATGTATATTAGTGGCCCCCATATACTTGGGGACCAACAAGGGACCAGACATCTGACAGCCCTCCGCTCCACGTTACTTCCCCGCCAACAGCCAGTAATTCCTGAAGGACGATGAGCTGGAGTGGTACTTCGACCTGAAGAAGCACACCCAAGATGCCCTGCGGCTTGTCACTTGGCTTTTGTCTGAGGCATTGTTGGCCATGGGGATTTCCGTAAATTCATTATGACACGGGTCCCTATATTGGGGTTCCTATTATGATACAGGTCCCTATATGAATTTCCCCGAGTCTAAGAACAGTAGTGAAGGCCAAGTCCTAACATAAGAAGCTTAGCTCATCTGTATGTGCTGAACCTCCTTGGCCGAGAGCAAACCTATGAGTTCCAAAAAGGCGTAAGCCCATACATCCTCAAGCTCACACATGGCTCATCCTTTGACCCTGCTATCACCAGGTATTTGTGGAGCCGCAGCCGGACATTCTGAACCGCCTACGCCGGCGGGTGCAGCAATTCTTAGGTCGGAAAGGGCAAAATTCACAGCGGCCCTGCTGGCGTGATTCAAACTGGATACCAATGTGAGCCATAATCCAAACTCATTAAAAGGGGGTGTACTTTGGGATTGTATAGGGAGTATCATAGGGGGTATTTGGGGGATTAGGAGTTTAGACCTCAGCCCATGATCATGTCACTCCCGCTGAATGTCTTTGTCAAGGTTCGTGGCAGATCCTAAATCCCCTCCAGGTCACCTGGGCTCCCCGCCTCAGTTCCTACAAGCCGCCTTCTGCGCTGATGGAGGGCATAAGAGTTTCTATGCGGTTTCGGAGCGAATCTATGTGGATTTTCCGGACTACACCATTCCAAGGAGGGGGCAGAAGGTTGCAGGGTAGGGGTTGAGGTTTAAAATTTAGGGTCTGAGGCTTCGAGCTTTGGGTGTAGGCTCGAGGGTAGAAGTCATGCAACTTAGTCCGCAACCCTACCGGATTCACTTTTGGGACTTGAATGCCTTGCTTAGACCCCAGTTTTAATTGCAGGGACCTTGCGCTCAGTGTTGCGGTGGACTTGCTAAGTGCCTGCGAAAAGGATAGCTACACACATTCTACGAAGTCTAGAGTCTAGGAGTAAAGGGGCAAGCAAAAGAAGCTTTAGCAGCATATCTGTGCTGTGACCCGCCAGACCTCTCTAGTCAAACCAATCCCAAAATTTTGATGGTAGTTTCGCTAAATAGGGCGCCCCAATACAACCACAACATACTATAATCCTTTTTGTGGGGACCCCCCAAAAGTATCCCCAATCTTGGGAAACTCCCACTTAAGCCTTCCATTTTCTGAATTTATCAAGGCCGAATATCCCTATTTGAAAATCTAGACAGTCTGGGAGCATTTCTAGCAGGCGGCCTCATGAAGTGTGTGCTGTACCCTCCAGCTGCGGCAGACCGTAGGTGGACACCCAGAGTAATAGTGACAACAAGGGATACTGGTGATTATATTAGGGTCCTCTTGTATTCCGATTATACCACTATCACAGGGTTGGGGGTCCACCTAAGGTAGCTCCCGCAACATGAACCCAAAACCCTGAACCCTAAACCCTGCCAGGTCTATGATTGCCAGAATCAGCTCCCTCTCACGAAGCCATGTCATCGACTTAGTCTTGCAGTTTGCCACGGAGATGGATTTCCTCAGCAGGCAGGGCTGTGATCAACAAGTCCTGAACCCTCACTATTACCATTGTTATCATTATTTCTACTGTTACTACTGTTACTACTACTACTACTACTACTATTACTATGATACTGCCCTTGAAGGTTTGAGAAAGGTTTGGGGCTCTTCAGCCTTCAGCTCAACATTCCCGAAGCCTTCAAATCCTTAGGCCTCTAGACCAGACCTTTCCAAAATAGGGGACCCTAATATAGACCCCAAATTACTATAATCCTTATTATGGGAACCCCCTATTAAAACTGAGACCCCTAATTTTGCGAATGATCCTTGAAAGGCCAGAGCTTATTGAGCCCTACATCGAGGATCCCAAGCTCAAATTGCACAGTAGGGTCCAGGTTGGGCACTCTGTAACAGCTGGATAATTCCTTATAGTATAGTTGTAATATATATTTATATATGTATACATATATATATATATAGCCCGTAAATTGACCCCTAATATAGGCTGTTACAGGGTGAGGGCAGTACCCAAGGTCTAGGTAGTTTGAGGCTTTCGAGGTTTGAGCTTTCGGGTGTCGGCTGTAGAAATCTTGGTTAGGGGCCTGCTTACCTGGGTCAGGCTTTCTTGGGGATCCGCGAAGCCTCGAAGACAGGCTAGTTCTTAGGCTTTAGAGTGAAGGGTTCATACTTTGGCTTGGGTCTTCATACGTTGACCCTTCCTGAAAGGGGGTCCTTTTTCACAAAGTCTTGCTGAGTACATGTCTTCTTAGAGATGGATCGACTGTATGAAGGTGGCAATAGTGGGGATCATAAGGTGAAGACCCCTGGTGATGAGTGCAGACATCCCCAGGTCATACCACCAATTAAGGAGATAGTAGTGGGCTTCGGAATCACAGAATCGTAGCAAGAAAATATGCGAGCTTGCCAACGCCCCAAACCTGCTGATCCTGTTCTACTCCCCGAGGCCTGGCTCCTAACTTGGAGATTCATGGGCAGCGTAGGTGGGACCAACCGTAGGATAAGTATGGTTGCAGCCCCTTGTGAAGTTCTATGAAGTACCTCTGACCCTAGCGGTAAGTACCCTACTTGTAAAAGTCCGCGAATCTTCACTGTCAGGTCATTCGTGGAGCAGAAGTCTCACAATAGGGGTACGTTAGCGAACCCTAGTGGCCTATGGCGAGTATGAGAATATTGTAGGGGTTGGATTTAGGGCTTATGTACGGTATTCTTACTGGATTTTAATAGGAAATGGCAGAAGGGATCCCCTATTTAATTCCAACAATAGAGTCGTCTCCTATCTAATCCCCATAATATAGTAGTCTCCATTTTCTTTTCCATTACTTCATTCTCTCAACCCGAAATCCTGAGTAGCAGTTTAGATTTTGCGTTCCATTCTTTCATCCGCTACTAACAACCAGCAAGCATTTTGCGAAACTTGCAAGCGTTTTCTTTTCCATTCCTTTCAGTTGTCAATATATATATATATATTTATAGACTTATATACCCTTATACAACCCCTAAAACCCTTTTCAAAGGGGCCCCTATGCTCCCAGGAGACAGTTGTACCCTGCCGGACAGCACAAGAGCTCCTCGCAGTGGCGAAGGTGAGCCCAAATGAGGCTGAGCAGGGCTTATCAGGGCCTTAGAGTTAACTTAATCAGAAGAAGCTGTTTCAATACATCTATCAGATAGTTACAAGAGGCTGTAATATAATGATATAATGTCTATTTTCTCTATATTCAGAAACCCAGGCCCTAGCGCGACACCTGTAGAGTTAAGGGTGATGGGGGTGATCTTGGGGTATATACAGATGGATAGATAAATCGATAGATGTATTTGTATATGTACTATAGTCTACACCCCCTCAAGGGGGGTTGTATCGGGAATCCTATGGGGGACTACTACAGGGGTCATTAAGCGGGATGCTAGGGGTTCAGACTGTAGCTTATATGCTTTCGCATTGGAACCATGGAGAGTCAAATGGTCAAACCGAGCATGAAATTGACACTTGGGTTATACGGTGTCTTATATGAATGATGGCTTGGGGGTCGCTTTGATTGGAATAGAGTTTTAGCATAGGTTGTATTCCAGCCATGATGATGAGGGGGTGACACTGCTAATTCTTCAGACTTCTACAGTAGGGCTACAGGTTCAGGGGGTCAGGCTTCAAGGATGTAGGGCCTTAGGGCTTTCGGCTTTAAAGAGTAGGAGTTCGGAGGTTCAGGTCTGAAGGACTAAGACTTGAAACTACCATAATGGGGTATATAGGGACTACTATTATATAAGGGTTACATAGGGATAATGGGAAAGAAAATGGAAACTAGTGTAATGGGTTTTAGGGTTTAGTGTCTTATGCGGCCAAAGTTCAGTTTAGAGTTTTGGGTTGTTGGCGGCCGGGTAGGGTTTCACATCTTTCTTTGAAGTTGTTGCAGCGTTGAGAAGGTTGATTTACATTTTATCGTGCTAGCTTCTTGCGTTTTCTGTGCACCCCGTCGCACATGGAAGCATTTTGTTGAAAGGCTGTGTTGCAGTTCTGTTATCACGCCGATCTTTGCGCGTCGCAAGGCCCAAACGAGCCCCACATCATCTGTAATTCAGCCTTGCTTTGGTCACTTGCTTGTAGTAAGCGAGGGTGTCAATCACTCCAGACTTTGGCGAAAGGTGGACGTTTTTGTGTCGGATCTAGAAGGCTTCGACACCCAGCTGCTTCCCTTCTTCCTTGAGATGAAGGCAGGGTGCTGGTAACGGATTACGCTGGAAAAACAAGGAGGATGTAGGTATGATCGGAGGGTTATGTTGCGGGGGGCAGAAAGGGGCTTAGTGGCCTTGAGTCAGCCTTGTATTTTCTTTTTCAACCGCACCCCTGCGAAAGGGCTTTGCCCCGGTGTCGCTGACTTTCGAGCATCTGGGGCAACTCACCCCGGAGCTTGTCATGCACTGGGTGGTGCAGGCGCTAGATGGGTCAGATGCGAAATTCTACACCCATAAACAACCCTAAACTTGAACGCTAACCAGAAACCCAAAGTACCGACTTCGAAGTCCGAAGCTGAACAATCCAAGGCCTCAATACTCTTGACTGTTAACGTTCAACACTAATCTTGAAGCCCTAATTCAGGAGCTGGCTACTCGGGGCTACACCCTCCACTGCCATTTTGCCGATGTTGTAGCGCTGCGCCCCAGTCGTGAGGACTGGCCAGTTTGGAGCTGGGGTGTCATCAGATTCGTCAGTATGAAGGGCAGTAGTAATGTCAGTATTATGTAGTATTCTACGAAAATGTTCGGCTTGACAATTACCTCCTGTTCTGAAAGATTGAACTTGTTGTTGGGGGGCTAGCATTTTGCCCTACGGTTTGAAGGTCAGATACCAGTGCCGCAGTTTCTTTACCCACTACGCTACAACATAACTCATGCATCTGGACAGATGAGCCCTGTATAGCCAGAAAGTCGAGGTTTCACATTCATGTTGGCCTACCTAGCAGAACTAGCTCAGTTGGGAATGGGAGTGGGATTGAGTAGAGTTGTAAATACGCACAGTTTAGTAGTACAAAGTAGGTAGT